AAATAACAATCAAAGACTGCTGTGATATTTTTATTTAACTGCTTGTACGATCGACGTATTAGATTATTAAGAATATCTATACGAATATCTATATCTATATCTATAAGAATATCTATCACCTATAATTAGCAGCGGTACAGATGTCATCAACAGCGGTTCAGCTATGATAAGCAGCGGAACAGTTCTTGGAACTTTGTCAATGTCTTGATTATGTGATGAGTTCCATAAGGAGTGCCACCAGACTAAAACTTCATAGGCTAGGAAAGATCATAAAGCCATTGGTTTGGTGGTTTGAGGCTCCAACTCTTGCCTATAGAGTTCAAGAACAAGTTCAATTAAGCCTCTCTTTGGGCGTTCCTCAGTATTTCTTCTTCCAATTCAGATGGTGGTCGAGGATAGCACCGAGGTATTTGGTTTCTGAGGAGAATGTTAACGTGACTTCTTCTAACATTGGTGGTATGAAAGAAGGACAATTACGTATCCTCTCAAAGAGGAAGAACTCCGTTTTTTTGATGGGTTAAAACTTAGTCCATTACAAAGTGGGTACGGCACCTTGACAGGTAACGAGAGCTTCCTCCATTAGTTCTGAAGTTGTATGCAGGAATTTTCCCGCGATCAGTAGGACAACATCGTCAGCATAGTGATGCAGACCCCTGATTTGTGCTTGACCTTCTTGATCTCACGGTTGTACTTAGAGGCTGTCTAAGCTAAGTGTTTGGTCTTGTTAGCCCTATTTTACAAACTTCTGTTATCCCACCTTATTTTTGGTAAATGTTTGGACCACGGATCGAATTTCTCATAGCAATCACGCATGACGCTCGTTGTCACGTTTACAGAGATGTCTATATATAAAGTTGGGGTAAGGGTCAAATTACCGAATTGGTGAAGCCTAGACATAGTCTGCAAATTTGTCCCATTGCGCCTTCCTTGGGTTCCTATGAGGTACAGAGATCTAGTATCCCCCTTTGTCTCTATTTAATGCCGCATCATTACCTCTATTACATATTTTGAGATTATATATTTAAAATAAAATCAAAAATGGTCTCAACTCTGATGTTAATATCTTTGCTGCTCCATTAAAAGTGGTAAGCGTTGACATCGCAATCGATGATCGATGCTACCCAACTCCATGAGCAGCTTCTCTATTTCTTGGCTGGGGGTCGGTTTGCTTATACGGCAGGTAGAGGGAGTGAAGATGAGGACCCTCCCGGAGTGTGTCTCTAAATTCGCCACCGTGATGTCTCCTCCACTGAATTGTCTAAGGGAGATTAGGTTTAATTTCTTTTTGGTGGCGGTGTCTACTTCAGCTTTTGTTATGAATAGGAGAAGTTCGATAGCAACCGCTTTGCTGTGATTCCTCCTGCCACGATTAGTCCTTTAAAAAAGGTATTTAATTTTGTAATACAGTTCTATTTTCACTCCATTGACATCGAAGGTGGTGGCACCCATGCTGAAAATACTTTCCGGCAGAAAATTTCCTTTAGGAAAACAGCCGCCAGATCGTATTCTTGCCAAAGTCAGTGAAAGTCAGCTACTGTGATGACGAGGAAGTTCCTAGACTCCCCGTTTTCACACAAAATGCCTTTCACGCCCTTGTAAAGGGTCGCGTTCTCCCAGTAAGAGTATCTCTCTAAGACGGTATCGATTGGCAGCCATCGACTTTCGCTAATTTAACCTTCCGACTCACCCTTGCCGATAACGTTGACCATAACGAAGGTTATCCGGGTAGAAGGTCTGAGATTGTTCCCTTTTTTGTATGGGTTGGCTTGTAAATTGTGGTTTGATAGCTTCCTTGTTGTCTTTACTGTGTTTCCTTGTGGCGTGTAGGGGCTACCGGCACCAATTTGGTCATAATTAGCTTGATGACCGACGGCATCGCCGGCTCATCGCCTTTCTGGTCTTAAGTCTTCTGGGTTTTTTTGCAGTAGATTTCAAATCCGCGGGGAAAGCAATTGCCTCCACCGTTGATTGTATTACCATCATTGTTTGCTTCACTGACCACCACGGAGTCCTCAATGAATGAAAAATTTTATTATTATAAAAATTATTAATGAAAAATTTTGTATAAATATTTAGTAATGAAAAAAATCCAAATAGTTTATGAACGGTAATATGTTGAAGAAGTAAAAAGCGTAAACTTCATTGAACGGAATTTTTAATACCCTCCACCACGAGGGAAATAAAAACTTTAAAAATAATTCTATAGGGACTCAATTTTCGAATGTGTCCCATTAAATTTGAAATGCTAGGCTTTACCCGCTAAGAACTTCAATTACAAACATTCACACAATTGCGTTAGAAAATGTGTCTACAATCATCAAGGTAAATGCAGGCTATAGAATAATGTAGGCCTTCAAATGCTAGTGAAATACAATTTATTCCTTCAAAAAATCATAAAGTGGGCGGTCCTCTCTAAAACTTTAAATACCAACTTTCAAACCATTAGAAGATGTGTCTTTAATTATTAAGATATCGAATATCGAGAGGTTCCATTATATGGGGGCTATAGAAAAACAACTGTCATTAAGAATTTCATAATTTAATTCCATTGAAAAATGTGTCTAAAATTATCTAAATACCGAATATTGGGGGTTAGACGCTCCTAAACAAATTTCTGTCCGAGGCATAAGTACATATACATTTACATATAAAATTCCAGACCATTTCATTGAAAAATCATACTGAAATCCTGAATTGAAAAATCAGACTAAAATCGAATAATGCGAGGTATTATTATATTTAGGCTATATAGAACATTTCCTTCCAGAGATAACTACTCTATATGAAACAGAAATACTGAACCACAAAGAACTTCGTTGAAAAAATGAGTTATATCATCAATATACCGGATATTTGGTGGTATTGTTATATGGGGCTATACGATATCATAGATATAGATCAACTTCGAACAATCATTTCAATTACACGAAACAAGTTTGCGGATCATGTTATCTTTCGAAACATGATCCGCAATCGGCGTCGATATATTGTGGAAGATAAGGTCCATGATAACAGCCCAGCATTGATTCAAGACCTCGAAGATGAAATTCGTGTGGCTAACCGAGGACATAAGGCGGTACTGTTTTTCATTATTAATGGCAAATGAAAATAATGGGAGTAACTTTTTTGATAATAAAAACATAAGAAAACGACCAAAAAGTCGGAAATGAAGCAAAGATAACTATATATCAAATTGTAGTCGATACTCTTTCCATTTCAAAATATTGGCATATGTGTTAATACTATACTATATATATACTATATCTATACTCTATTACTTTATATAACATTACAATAACAATACAATATTGATACTAATCCTGACCATAAGGATTCTATCGTACATAATAACCAGTAAGGAAAGCACAAAAGTCGGGCGGGGCCGACTATATGATACCCTACACCACTATGCATATTTAGTAGAACTCTCGTAAAAAGGTTTATGCAGGGCATTTCAGAGCTCTATGAGATATTTGGTACAAAATCAAAATCTATCTAATACTATCGTGCATTTTACGAACTATAGCTATCTCTGAACCGGGTTTCTCCAAATTTTACGTATTAGCTTCTAGACTGGTGATTTGGGCTGATATTGACCATTTAGTGCACATTTAACCCGAAATCGGATGAAGATATATATGGGAGCTATATCCAAATCTGAACCGATTTCGATAAAATTTAAAACAGCTATTCCTGTGCTCCATCTAATACCTGGTACCAAATATCACGGTTGTGGAGTGAATATTACGAATGTATAGGACTAAAACTCTAAATCGGATGAAATATATATATGGTTGCTAAATCTATATCTGAACCATTTGGTGCACAATTAACCCGAAATCGGATGAAGATATATATGGGAGCTATATCTAAATCTGAACCGATTTCGATAAAATTACAAAAAGCTATTTCTGGGCTGTATCTTATATCTGGTACCAAATATCATTCTTGTGGAGTGCATATTACGAATGTGAGAGGCTTAAACACCAAATCGGATGAAAGATATATATGGGAGCTATAGCTATATCTGAACCGATTTTCTCCAAATTTGATATACTTGCTTCTAGGCCGAACTCGGTTGGGTGTGCCAAAATTCAGGTAATTTGGACTGATAGTGGACATTTGGTGCACATTTAACCCGAAATCGGATGAAGATATATATGGGAGCTATAGCTGTTTCTGAACCGATTTTCTTCAAATTTGTTGTATTTGCTTTAAGGCTAATCTCGGTCACATGTGCCAAAATTCGGGCCATTTGGTCTGATATTGGCCATTTGGTGGTCAATTAACCCGAAATCGGATGAAGATATATATGGGAGCTATATCCAAATCTGAACCGATTTCGATAAAATTTAAAACAGCTATTTCTGTGCTCCATCTAATACCTGGTACCAAATATCACGGTTGTGGAGTGCATAGTAGAAATGTGAGGGACTTAAAGATCAAATCGGATGAAAGATATATATGGGAGCTATAGCTATATCTGAACCGATTTTCTCCAAATTTGATATACTTGCTTCTAGGCCGAACTCGGTTGGGTGTGCCAAAATTCAGGTAATTTGGACTGATAGTGGACATTTGGTGCACATTTAACCCGAAATCGGATGAAGATATATATGGGAGCTATATCTAAATTTGATCCGATTCTCACCAATTTCAATAGGGTTCGTCCTTGGGCCAAAAAAATATTGTTTGGAAAATTTCATCTCAATCGGATAATAAATGCGACCTGCATTTTGTTCACAAGAATACATGGACAGACGGACGGACGGACGGACGGACGGACGGACGGACGGACGGACGGACGGACGGACAGACGGACGGACATGCATAAATCGACTCAGAAAGTGATTCTATGAAGGTTCTCAAAAGTAACTATGGGTCTAACTCGTTTCCTTCTCCATGTTACAAACAAATGCACAAAGACATAATACCCTTACCACTATGTGGTGTAGGGTATAAAAACTAATAATACTCAATTTTTATTTATATTAAAATAGAACATCAATCGCAGCAGTCAAATACGAAGGCCCTTGTAAGTGAGTCGAAACCAGTAGATGACAACCGCTCTTTTGTTAAACCTGAATATGGACAATCACATCACAAAACGTCTAGAGTGAAGAGAGCAACTGTAGTCGGAAACCCAATGTTCTCATCCACCGTAGAGGATGAAAATGAAGAAGAAGAATGTTTAAGCCTAGATGATCTTGATATGGACTACGAACAGATTATGAATTACTTTGACAATTTAAAGGTAAGTAAATACCAATTTTTTTTTAAAGAAAGTGTCAGCCAACGTCTGATCTCAACAGACAAAAATATACATTGTTTTAACAACGCTAACTGGGGCTTTATCATTTGACAGTCCGCGTTGCCGTCCCGTAGTTTTGGTCTACACAATTTTTAGTATAAATGATGACTCGGCTTATCAGAAATAAATACAGATCGCAATAATGTCAATACAGATACACGTACCGGGCGATTTATAGTCTTTCAAAAAACTTGGTTCTATTTTCCAGCCAGAGGTTTTAATCTAAATAATATAACACATATATTAAAAAGTATACATCTACTGTTTAATCAAAATAAAACCCTCGAAATAGGTGAAATCATGAGATATTATTATATGGGCGCTACTTCGAAACATTGACATTGAAAAATTTCTGCGAAGTAGCCTTCTACCCCTTAGAAGCTAAGATGCCAAATAAGGGAAAAATCAATTGAAAAATGTGGCCAAGGTCCTGGAAATCAGGTATTTTCAGCGAATAACTTCATATAAGGATTATAACAAAGCATGGTCCTATACTTATAATTATTTGCAAGAATGTTTTGTTCTTTCTAAAAACTCAAATTAACAACATTTGAGGAATTTGATGGATTATTTTCATATCTAGTCAATTTTTTTTTTTTGAGTTTTGGAGAATACCTGATCCGGTCCGCGTTGCCGGGCCGTACTTTTAGTCTTTTAATGTATAATAAATCACATAATAAATTATGTAAGCGACACAATTTTTATCATAAATATTGACTCCATAGTAATTTCTAAATACAAATAAATATTTATGGCAACACTTATAATAGACGTTCACCTACCGTCGGATTTAGATATTTTGAATTGCCTGATCTTATGTTTCAGCCATAGGCTTTAATTTAGTGTTAAAAACCTATATGATAAAGAACATCTATAATAGCCCCATGTAAAAACTCAGCTCAGTTTTTGGTATTGTAAAGAGCTTAGCAACATTTTCCATTAAAATGAGCTGTAATTTGGAATTTCTATTTCCAACGTTTAGAATACCGTGCTGCGTGATATTTAGTTGTGTCCACCTTATAATTGATGGTAGAATGATTTCAGAATAGTCGAAGATAATTACTCTTTTACACCCATTACCGTCAGATAGGATTTCATTTTTTGTCACTTAAATTGTGCGTTGGAGATCCCATAGAGTGTATATTTTTTTCATAGTATAATTCAATGACGATTAAACAAATATTTGGTCCCGTGCTACTTTCTCATTTTCGTAATATTTTTCATGTTTCCGACTGAATGAGTCCCTCTTTGACATTTCGGAGTTTATTTCATAGAGACGTACATCCCAAAATCTACGTTCCCAACCAATAGCCTCTTGGGGTTACAAATTCAATGGAATACGAAATTTTTTTTTTCTGACCACACATTGGTTGGGAATGTGGACTTGGGGGTACACTAATGTAGGGACTATACTTAGATAAATGCCTATGTGGACAATTATCTGTAAGATGGAGTAGCCTAAATACAATTTTTTAGCCAAATCAATTGATGAATGTGGTCAAGACCAAGATGGACTCTACTCAGAAATTGAAAATTTTATGAGAAGAGGTTTTCTACCCTCTTAAAAACAAAGATGCCAAATAAGAGCCAACAAATTATTATTGTCATATGAAAGAAGTTTGTCGGTCATTTTTGTTTGTTTAAATGTGTTCACATCTTCCAGCTGAAGCACGATGTTGGTCCCGGAGTTGAAAGCTAGATGCCAATTTTGTACATTAAAGATAGTCATTCAACATCGTATTGCTCACTCATTTCATTTTTAATATTCATGGTTGGCGTTGTCGTAGGCGTTCAAGTGTCGTAGACGTACGACTGCGTAGCTAGAAATTTTTAGTATTATGTACAATGTTCGACTACGTCTTTTTTGTAATAGACATAAAAAGCAGGAAGCTCTGGAATAATAAACATTTTTTGAATTTACGATATACCCGGTTAAAAGAAATAAAAGCGTCAGTTGAAATGGTTGAAGTACCCTGCATTTACAATTGTTTCTAAATGTAACAAGCGTGAAGCTGCTTCCTCCGTGTCGCTTATAATGAACTGTTTGAAGTGCCCTCCACCTGTAGCACGACATTCTGCCTTGTTATGAACTAGCTTCTTCCTCAATTAGAATTTGTAGTCGGCCCAGACTTTCATCCAGGCCTCGCCTGTTCGAACCGGCGTTCCTAGGATATTGAGTTTTGCACCAATTTTGTTCCATTCTTCCTTGATGTTAATTTTTTTCAAGCCATTGCTGTAAGCTCTAGCCAACATTTGGATTCATTTGCAAGATCTGGATCATTTCGTCAAATTGTTTCTTCGTTGTGACTTTAAATCTAGAAAAAGCGAAATGTTAATAGATGTGCATACATATATTTTTGTAATGTTGATATATACTTCTTCTTCAAATCCATTTTGTATATTATTTATTCTTTTGTAATGTCAATTTGGGGAAAAAAAAATTTGTGTGTTGTCGACAGCAAAACCTCTAACGACTAATTTTCCAGTGTTTATGGAATTAGAACGCGTCTTGTGGTATGAAAATTGTAACAGAATTTCATACAGAGTTGTAATTTCTCGCATACGATACACGTAATACCAATTAGTCTTTACGACGAATTTTTAATTCAGAATTCAAAACAATAAACAAATTTACACTTCAATATAGTATGTCAGACTGAAAATATTTCACGAAAAATAATTTTTTCATTCACATTTTTATTGGCATATTTTCACGCTATTTTTTTTTTCTTTGCCAAGATTTCATTCCGAAATTATATGAATTGTCAAAATCCCTCAAGCCGTTCTTGTGTCATAAGCGTAGTAACTAACGTAACTTTCCTTTATATGGTGAAAATAATTCTTTATTTTGTTCACAAAAAAACGATTGAATTCAATATGATAAGCCAAACTGAAAAAAAACATCGTATATTATCTTAAATTAAAAAAAGGAAGAAAAAATTATGATTTCTTAGAGTTAATATTTAAATGTCCTTACAAAGTTTGGTCCTTAGAAAGTTAAAGGTCTTTACAAAGTTTATTTTAAAATTCGATTCCATTGAAAAAAATTTTCTCGTTTTTTCCCGATTTTAGGATTTTTGCAATGAGATTTCCTTTTTCGTGATTTTTTTTAGCGATTTTAAAAAAATAATTATCCTTTTAGTTTGGCGTGACCGCGTTAAATTATTCCGACATCATCTATTCAGTTAGTCCACCACATAATTCGGTACTCGAGTCAATTAAATAAAGTTACTCAAATTGAAAACCCGTTCGTACATGTTTAAATATAATATATATGTACACATTAACAAAAAAATGACCGTCAAAGTGTTATGGGGCTAATTTCAAAACGCGAACGAACTTCTTTCCTTTGACAATCCGTCCAATAAGAACTCAACATGCAAAATTCATTGGGACTGCAATCAGTGAAATACCGAATTTAAAAGTGTGCAAAATAGTAAAGCGAATAGGACATTTAAGATTTTTATGCTTCCAGAAATTCTTCTTCTTTCAAGATACCTTAAATCGCTTTTGCATGTCATGAATGGGTCATAACACCTGGATAAGCGTACAACCCGATTTCAAGTATATTTTATATATTAACCATATTTTCATACTAATTTCGACAAATGTTGGTAATTCAAGAAGAAACCATCCTTGCAAAAACGGATCACTTTTTGGTATAACCATCATATAATTTAAGCTATTTTCGGGTCTTGACCATTTTTTTGGCCATACTTGGCATCTTTGTTTTTAAGGGGGTACGAAACCTCTTCACATACAATTTTCGGAGTAGGACCCATCTTTATTTTGACCACATTCATCAATTGATTTGGGAAAAAAAGTTTTATTTAGGCTATTCTGGAGTAGAGAACATCTGTATGTAATGCAATTGTAATTGTCCACATAAGCATTTATTGAAGTACAGTTCCCACATTATGTATACCCTCAAGTCCACTTTCCTAGCCAATGTGTGGTCAGAAAAGAAAATTTTGTATTCTATTGCATTTGTTATCCTCAAGAGAATATGGGGTCTCCAACGCACAATTTAAATGACAAAAAATGAATTCCCATCTTACGATAATGGGTGTAAAAGTGTAATTATCTTTGAATATTCCGAAATCCTTCTGCCCTCAATTATGAGGTGGACAAATCTAAATACCAAGCAGCACAGTATTCTAAACGTTAGAAATACAAATTCCAAATTACAGATCATTTGAATGCAAAATGTTGCTAAGCTCTATATAATAGCAAATATTGAGCTGAGTTTTTACATGGAGCTATTATAGATGTTCTACATCATATCGGTTATTTAATACTCAAATAAAAGTCTATGGCTGAAAAATAAGATCAGGCTATTCCAAATATCTAAAACCGACGGTATTTGAACATCTATGTTAATTTTTGCCATGAATATTTATTTTTTACTTAGAAATTACTATGGAGTCATTAGTTATAATAAAAATTGCGCCGCTTACATAAGTCAGATATGTCATTTATTATGCTTAAAAAATATGCATTATAGATTGAAGGAACGGGCGGCAACGCGGACCTGGCCTTTTCCTCCTCCTGTGATTGATTCTTCCCGAAGCTTTTGACAGCAGGAGAAGGCCAAGGTCTAAAGTCGACTCCTGGGCGACTTTATAAATACCCTATAGAAAACTTCAATGGTGAATAACTACTGAGTATATATTGTATACACAAGCAATGTTTTTTGTTTCTATAGACATCTTGTATGAGCTTGTCATTCGAAAGTCACTACATTGTCATTAAGACATTGCAACCAGTGAGTCAGTAGTTTACAGTTTACTTGTTTTGCTCTTCATAACTTCATGATTTGCTTACATATTATTGCAGCATCTCTTAGTCTTCCTCATGTTGTACTGTTGCTCCAAACATTTTTGAGAAGATACAGTTTTCTGATATATACAAATATATATACGCAAAGAAAAATTCGGTGTATT